TCTTATTATTCATTGTTAGAATAGCCCTATTTACTTCATTCCAGGTTAGAGGTTCGTCTAATTCAGGCCGATTGGGACCGCAAGTGATCCTGGAGATGGGAGGTCGTGTTGTTCGTAGTTAGTCCTAAAAAATAACATAAACAGGTAAAGAGGAGAAAACAGAATGAGGGTGAGAGCAACCTCCCTGACATGAATTACTCTTTGTATACCATCGGTCAGATGGAGATCACTCATTTTACGCGAGAATTTCGACTTTGTTTGTGCGCAGATATCATCTTAGACTACAACTGTACTCCAGGGCCTATTGAACTGGAGGGCGGGCACAAGTGTACGTGCGAGTGCCTTCCCGGCTATTCGTGCCTCCTCGAGTGCAAAGACCACCTGTCGCAGGACGGAACGGCCAACATAGGTCGAACGCCTGCCAAGTCCATATTCAAACAGTAAGAGGCAGTGAGCCCTCAGGCGCTCTGGTTCTGCATGAGCACGATGTTACTTGTGGCGACATTGTGAACTATTCTGAGTTAATTAAATTTAATTAAAGCAAATGTATAAAATAAAGTATCACATATTATTTATTTCGGGCGTGTGACCTGCTAAGATCATCCGTCCTCTAAGAGACGCTCGTGTCATCCTCGGGGTGACGGAGAACTTCCCTGGCTCGATGACGAGATGAGGCGCAGAACTACACGACGGATAGTGGGGTTTCCCCCAACAAGGTATCTCTCACCAGCGGGACACCAACCCAGTCGTAAGACGTTCGAAACTGTTGACTGGTCTCCCAGCATATGTGGTAGTGTAGTTACATCTAAGTGTAAATGTGTTTAAGGGATGATGACAGAACAAAGGGAAGATCGCGCGAACGCCGTGGCCAATTTGTTAGAGTACTACTTCTGCAATCGCCTGATGTTGGTCGGAGAAACCACGGAAAACTGTTGATTAGATGAGCCGGCTGCTAGAATTGTTCTCCGTGCGCCAGCTGAATTCGACCGAGCTTGCCCTTTTTGGAGCCGTCGGGAAGCTATGTAAATTGGGAAGGTGCTTGCCCACCGTAAGTTGAAGAGTCTCAGTCTGTTGATAAATTAGAAAAATTATTTGTTCTGTTCCCGTTCTGCATTGTTGCCTCATAATAATTCCATAGTCCTATGGGTAAGAGATTGCGACCCTTCCCGCGACCTCTTCCGGTTCGATCTCACTTTAAAAGTTCCTTTAATGAAACAAGTACAAGTTTTAAACGTTTTTTCTTCAGTTTCGTCGTGATATAAATTTCGCAATAAGGATGTTTCTCTTTGCGGTAATAGTACCGTATTAGAATATATTTAAACCTGCTAAAGACATCGGATTCAGTAGGTAATTTCTGACGGCGTTCTTTTCGCATTGACATTTTTCATATTTTCTCTCTGGTAAGTTGAAGAAACACCGTTCAACTCATCACTATACAACACTTTTTTAAAACTCTTGAGTGTGCGGATGTGTAGTTCTGCCATTCCGTCACTGGCGTCTGGACCAATTCCCGCGCACCACTCGAGACATTCGACGCGTCTCGATCTTCTGATGGGGAAGTGATAATTTGTTTTTCGACCCCCTAACAGATTTAAACAAATTTCCAAATACGTGTTGCCCAAGGACCTGTCACTTCCCCTACTTTCGTGTTTTGGCGCTGCGATTTTAGTGATAATGCCAGGAATTAAACCAACGTCTCCTAAATCGATCTATGTGGGTGGCGTTGATTAAATACCAAAACCCAAAGGCATTTTTTACTTAATACTTAATTTTCTTTCACGAAACTGATGTTGACATCTGTACATGAACAATTGACTTGCCAAGTAAATGGCGCTTCAGATTGTTTTCAATTTAGAATTGAATTATTATCATATTTTTAAAAATAAATTTGCGAATACCTACGAACAGTATTGCCTTGAAAGTTATTGAACTTGATAAATTTCAAATGAATGCGGAGAAAATGCAGAGAAAAACAATGAGTAATGCTAGAGAATGAATGAATGTTATTTTCGACTTCGCGCTTTTACGTTTTTACATAGGTGTGCAAATACCGATTTTCACATGAATGTGACCCACAAATTATTCTTATTATTGAAATTAACTAACATATTATTGACATAAACATGCAAATCAGTTACCTTTTAATGTTTCGCATGCAACGCTTGATTCGTATACGACACGATTAATAAAGCAATTGCAGAAGTTGAAGTGAACACAAATTAGATTGAGTTTCTGAAGTTTTAATCTCTTCAAAAATTAGGGGAGAAAAATATGGAAGTTTTAAATAAAACCGGGGAAGAATCAAATGGAGTTGTAAACAATGTCGCGATAGAATTTACGCAACTAATCTGCATTTTTGCATTTAGCGTTTGTACCAATGCAAATGTGCTCTGTGCATTTGTGTGCATATTACAAAAAAAGTAAAAATGTTGCTATACTAAAATTTACCTATTAGCATCAAAACCTTTGTTAAGGCGACTATAATTTTGAAATTGAAATAAGACCAGTTTATATACCTTATGGAGGTAACCATTGACTGTTAGGGAGTTTTGAATGAGAGAATTACATTATCAGCTACTACGATTCAATGCCAGATTCTGAAAGAACATATTTAAACAAAACATGAAGGAAATAAAGTACGAAAGGTATTTTCAACACATGAAAGTATTTTTTAAAACAGTTCAAAGCTTCGGCGATGCCACATTTTGCGAGTTTCTCAGTCTTTGCGTGTGTGGCATCTCCGGATGAAGCTCTCCAGTTCTTCCAATTTGAACATAACCGCCTCAGCGGCCTCGCGCCCCTTGCGATTGAGGATGCGTATGAGGAGAGTATTTGCCTCCTTTCAGCGACTTTTTATTTCCAAATTCCTGGATTGTCATTGTCCTAGCTGTGCGCATTCTTTAGACTTCGTCGGTCGACATTGCCAGTAGATCTTACCTTCATAAACCCTTTATCTAAAGTAAATGACTCCATTTAAGAAACGGTTTACTTATCCGCTAGACGAAAGTATAATTTTTGAATTGTTTGGAGGCTGTCCCACCATCGAACTCAACCTGAGCAGCGCCCGTAACGCGACCTGGAATACCATGAAAACCATACGTGAACCACCATACCTGGAACCAAATGTATGAACTATTTGCGCTACAGAGTGGAACATGCATTCTGTTGGTTGTTAGTCTTCCAATCTCCTCAGCCTGGGCAAGTTTTTGGGTTTGTTTCATCCTTCCAACCACTATTATTGCACTTAAATTACATTTTTCACATACTTTTGTACCTAATGCTACAATTGAAATGCGATTTTAAGAATACTAAAGAGGAGGAACACCTGGTCCTGAATATTTTTTTTTTCCGAAGGATTTTGACTATTTTCTGACTATGTATTTTGCGCGCTGATTAAAATGCACAATATAAGATAATTTATTTTAGAAAACTTTACAGTTTTCGAAATACTCAATTGCAAATAATTTATATCAATTCTACTCCGAAATGCAATCATGCATACCATGCAATCATGCAACTTATGCTCATAAATTTGTCTTATGTCTTCTGTTAAGATGGTTAATTTATTGATTCCTATGTGATACCCGCTAATAAAATAAGCAATATTTGGCACGTTTTCATTATTTTACACTGCGTTATTCATTTATAGAAGTGGCAGGTATACACCGTTACCAAATATAAATGTAGAACTTTATACCAGTGTATCTACTTGTAACAGATAGAATAATTGAGTTAAGTTGGGTTGCTTTGGAGGCTGCTTATTTGGTGTTTGCTAGCTAGAGTTCACAAGCAATAGTCGCCTGATAATTGAGTAGTGATATTAAAAGTAAATTACTTGTTTAATTATGAAATTTGTAGCGTTTTGAAGCGTTTAAGAGATTGGCAAACCCTTGGGGAAGGTGTTATGCATATAAAGGTAATCGGTGGTTCCAGAATACGGAACAAAATAAGTCCAAGTGCAGAGCAGTTTGCCGATTGATGAGCAACCCAGATCTTACGAACAATATATTTTATTTTTGTTGAAACTTTGTGGTTTTGTTTTAAATTACCTCGAGATTGAGGATTGAGGACAGGGACGCGGAGATAAGGGGAAAGCAGCGGGAGCTGACATTATTGGAAATCCTCACGATCGCGGGCGCCTTTGGGAGCAACACTGTTATAGGACGGAAGTTCATTAGATACGTAATAACATACACTTTTTTTTAATCAAGCAAAATAATTGCATTTACCCACTCTCTTGGGAAACACTTTGACTTTGGCACATTTTCCACAAATGAAATTGTAAGATGTATAATATCTTATAATTTCAATATTATTAGAAATATATATCAATATTATACGAAAATATGGTGAGATGAATGTACTAAATGAACTATGCATAGCTATGTTATGGTTATTTAATACTTGTTGGGGGCTAAATAGAGAGGCTGTTGAAATGGCGCGAGTGAGCTACTAGCCAGCCCCATCTACTTACCTCTGGGAACTATTGCCTGAATGGAATGCGACGCCGCGCATTGCCTGTAAATGTTAGTATCTACAGGAGTTGTCACTATTACACTGGGAGAATTCAGTAGACGTAGATTGAATGGAATGCAAAAACACATATAATTAATATTGACTAAATAATACATATAGTTGCAACTATGCAACTTCATTTTCGCTTGAAAATGTTGAAATGATTTTAGAGACTGAAGGCATATGTAGTTAAAACTAATTAAAGTTGTTGCAATAACCATTTAGGATAAAATCGAAGGCACAACATCACATAACACAACGGTGCTGAAATGAAAGAACACAGTACACTGTATACAAAAGAACTGTGACGAGTGTATATTGGTGAACGTTGAATGGTTGATTGAAAGTTGATTACGCGCGTAGGCGCGTGATGCCAACCACCTGCAGAGCGGCGGGGGGCGGTGGTTGTACTAATTACGGCCACTAATTATATTAGCAAGCACACTGTAGCAACACAAGCTCAGGAGATCCATTACCACTGGCAACGACAGAAAGTTACTTTGAATGCCGTGGAAACGGGTATTGTTGTATAATAGGTATGCGGTTGTGACGTAATCACGTGTAGCACATGATGTGAAAACAGTTTATCCTGGAAGCATACTCACGTGTCCTTGACAATACATTGTGACAAAAGAAAGTTTGTCACCAAATATTAACTGGATCATAGGGAACTTCGTGGAGCAACATACAAATTCGAGTATCCCTTGGCGGCGTTAGAGCCCAACTGATTTTGTGAGGGTCGGCGGCGAGCAGTGCAGACAACATCTGCTGCTTAACAGCTGCTGCGCCAATCATATTCAATTAAATTTTATTGTATTATCAATTAATTGTCAATGTATTAAAATGTGTTTAATAAGACACCAGGTCGCAATTAGTTTATAATCAAAGGAATTGGATGCTTGCAGGAGAATTTGAATGTAATGAATTACAATATCGTTTATGAAGGAAACTTTTAGTTTAATTTGAATGATACAGTTAAACGTAGCAATGACCTTTGTCCCTTCGGCAGCAGGCAGGGACCTGAGACAAGAGCGGAAGGGAGATCCCCACGAACCTCCCATGAGCGAGGGGATGTCGGCGATAATGGAAAAGCATGGAATACAGCACATGAAATATAGTAGAATGTAGAATGCTCCCGGTTCGTCGTAAAGAGTTTGCAATATTTTCAAATGTATAAATGAACAAATGGAGTTAAAGTACAGCGAGTACAAACAATATCACAACTGTCGAACTTCAAGTAAAGTAACTTTCAATATTTTCTTGCAATCGTATTTGAAAATGCTGCTAATGCAATTACTGACTTGCCGGAATTCTTAGCGTCTCAGGAAGGAATAACAAAATGGGAGCAAGCACACTAAAGGTTTCAGATCTTGGGAAGATTACTTCAAAACAATAACATTAGAAAGTAATATTTATTCTCACATGACATTAGTATTATAGAAATATTTATTCAAATCTTACTCTATAACTATTTGTGAAAACATTGCAAGTAAAATGCTTTGTATTGGAATATTCATTACACTTATTATATTCAGGTTTTTATGGTTCCACAATGTTTGCGTAAAGCGAGATCAACGTTATGCTTACTGTAACGAATGTAATCTATCTCCTCTGTAAGTGAATGTTGTATTCACTTCTTTTTCTGACGTATGGCTCTTATTATTTTTTTTATTCTCTTGTTACTCTCACGACATGATCAATCTTTAGCGTGGCATTCTCGCCGTAACACATTTACAAAAATAATACAAACACAAAGTATCATGTTGATACACAGCGCCAGGAAAGTCTCTGCAGAGGCACCAGTGGCTGGTGAAAGTACTAGCAACAGGAATTGTTTGCTTTTGCAATATATATATATATATATATATATATATATATATATATATATATATATATATATATATATATATATATATATATACACGGTGTTGTGGGTAGGACTCTCTCGTTCTCCGCCAGATGTCGGTCTCAGTTACTAAATCCGAACTGTCTGGGGGAAAGTGAGATTTCGTCAGGACGAATGTTGTCGGAGGGATTTAATTTTGTTGCCGGGCATACCGCTTAGATTCTTTTACATGCTTCAAGTGTCACATGGCTACTGTGGACTTTTCGCCTTTCGAAAATCCGGGCACATCGGCCGGATCGAATTCTTGCACTGGGGGCTCAGAGGCTTGTAAGCTAACCACTCCCCCACGGATATACCCATTGTAATAGAATTATATGTAATAATAGATATAATACACATATGTTTTATATAATAATAGTTATAAATACTAATATCAAATTATAAGATAAATACATTTTGATAATATCTTGAAATTAGCATAGTTAACATTTTGCTGTCATTTGTTTTTTATTATATTGTGTGTAGTGTATTGATCTGTTGAAGCCTATGTGTAAGTGTATTGAGGTCTTAGTGTGAGTGAGTGCGAGGGTGAGGTGATAGTTATCGAAGAGAAAGTTTTCTCACGTTCGGGGAGTATTTTCCAGTGGCATAGCAGGAGTCTTGCTGTTGGGTACTCTGAAAATCATACTTTACCCTTTTTTGTAAATCAGCTTCATTGGTCGGGCTTCTCGTTCAACATACACATCTATAAGTTTTTTTCCCAGTTGTTCATGGTATTGTTAATTTAGATACACTTTTGGAAACCAAGTGTACTCAAATTAGTAAGCCTGATATTTCCCATGGAATTTCTTAAGAAAGTCTTCACCCCCTCTAATGTAATCATATTTCTTTTATCTAATGTTGTAAGATACAGGAAATTTTAGACTGAGTTCTATAACCCGAAAAGTTTCATATTTTGTTTAATCTTTTTCCTCCTACGTCACATACAGTTTTTACTACTTTTTTTTGACTGAATAAATATAAATCTAAATCTTGTTCTAGACCGTTCTCAAAGATATATTTCAGCAACAAATTGCAGGAAAGCATTTTGCATAATCAATGAAAATATTTGTCGGTTCATTTCCAAGCTGCTCACTGTCAAAGAATGGATATTGTTTTATTGGGAAAGATATTTTTTCTGAAGGAAAGGACACATTGTAGATGGGAAACTTTCGCAAAGGAATTCAATAAAATGAAAGTTTTTAAAATCTTGAAATCGATATTGCATCTGAGCTACTTCTGTGCCAAAAGTTTTAGAAGAAACAAATTTTGTCTTTTAAAAAACTTTTATCTTCAAAGTTCATTCATGGTTCAAATGTACTTTGATGTAGTTTTGAATAGTCTCTTCCTATCTAACACGGCATTTTTATAATATCCTCTCTCTCTCTCTCTCTCTCTCTCTCTCTCTCTCTCTACTTGCCTAATGATTCTGCGTTGCTGAGCAAGAACTGCATTTCGATATCGTGAGCCGTTAAAAGTGTTGGAAGTGGCCTAGAGGGGATGGGACATTATCGGAAACACTAAATCTGTAGCGTTTTAAAATGTTTCATAAAGAAAAAAAACGAACAACAAAAAGCATACAGAATAGGAACGAAAAACAGCCAACAGATAAGGTACCCACTCCCAAAAGTAAGAACGCCTTAGACCTGTGTTAAATGTGAAGTATGATGAATGTGTTAGATCAGTGATACGTCGAATAGTACGCTAATTTCTTCTTAAGGAATGAGCTTCTATTAAAAAAGTGTTGACAGCTGTAAGAAATGATCCTGATCTACCAAATTTAAAGAAATCTTCACTCCATTCTGTGCTACTGGAAATTGATTTGAATTTATTAACACAAAGAGGAAAAGTGTGATAGAAGATGGACATTATATTTCTTTGTGGTGTACCAAGTACCTTCGAAAAATGAAAGAATTCAGGTAGAAAAAGAGCAAAGTTTTCTTTTTAGACGAGACATGGGTTAACGAGAGGCACGTGGTACCAAAAGCATGGAATGACAAATCTGTAAAATGTAAAAATAGGTTTTCTTATCACAGGTTTGAAACATCCACCTGGAAAGGGTAAAAGACCCTTGAATGAGCTTGTGTTTGAATCCCAAAAAAATCAGATTATCATCAAGAAATTACTGCCGATGTTTTCTAGTGTTTGTTCCAGAAAATTATCCCCAAATTAATTCCAAATAGTGTTGTAGTAATGGATGATGCTCCATACCATAGTGTTAGAGCAGAATATCTTATCAATAAATGTTGAAGAAATTGACTTTCATATTGAGAACACGGGACAGCCCGCAATTTTCGTTGTGTGCATGAATTTAGAAGTATTATTGGCAATAAAATTGCATTGCTATTAAAATTTAAAAAATAATATAACATAAACCTTTCATACAATTAAAAATAATGTGTTGAATATACTATTCTTTTGAATGCCTCAATTGCTTTCCCTGTCTTGCAATCGCGCATGCTGCAAATTTCGATAGACTGAAGGATATTGTGCAACCTGTGGATGAACTTGAGATTGAGCGCTGCGGAGACAGCAGAGCGTGGGCAACTGTTTGATTACGGCAGTCGGCTCGGAGCTCGCGCTTCGGCAGAGGGATGTGTTCCGCTATCATTCCGTCTACTTCATTGTCTCGTTGGACGGAGAATAGATGAGGAAACGTAAATAAATGCCATGTCCAGCAATCGTTTATAGCACTTAAAATAAAAATTATTAAAATTATAAGTGATGCATTACGTTCCTGTGCAAAGGTGAACAACAGAATTTCTTTACCCAAGTGGCCTACAGCACAATTGTACAGATCTTAAAAAATAAAAAGAAACATTTACGGAAACATGTTTAATTCACGACGGGAGTATTATATCATTTTACATCGTTTTGTACGTCCGGATATGCTTCACATATCACTTCTGAAGGTGGCGACGTTTAACTAGCGTCTTGTTCCACCTTTTGGTGGAAGCACACGCTCAGGGGACCACGAATGCACTCGTTATAGCCATTCCGTAACACCACTGTCGCCGTAGGAGCAGGCAGCATAAGAAGCAGACGTCAAGGACAGCGCTATTCGACTTCGTTCCTATAGAAAGATGGCGTGGCCACTGCAGAAATTCATCGGCGC